AGTGTGTTGAGGGGGAGAGGTCTAGCTCTTAGACCCCCACTCTTCAGGGTGCTTTTGGGCTCTACTCTCTCCCTGCCCCTATTTAACACCTACATGAAGCTGCTGGGTGAGGTCATCTGCTAATATGGGGTGAGGAATTGACTGTACCCTACCCTCCTTATGCTGGTCTATGACCGTAATAAAGATTGATTTGACAGTGTTATGGTGGTTCTCCTCCTTTCTCCAAGGTCAGGTCCAGTTGGAGTGTGTTGAGGGGGAGAGGTCTAGCTCTTAGACCCCCACTCTTCAGGGTGCTTTTGGGCTCTACTCTCTCCCTGCCCCTATTTAACACCTACATGAAGCTGCTGGGTGAGGTCATCTGCTAATATGGGGTGAGGAATTGACTGTACCCTACCCTCCTTATGCTGGTCTATGACCGTAATAAAGATTGGATTTGATTAGCTTTGCTTAGCTCCAAATAGAGCCACAGAATTAGAGCTCATTAGGTCTAACTGCCTACTCACTGCTTCTCTTACAATCCTCTAGCCCAGGGTTTCTCAACCTTGGCAGCTTTCAGAGGTGTGAACTTCAATTCCCAGAATTCCCCAGCCAGCTATGTGAATTCCCCATTTCACATAGCATTTGCCTTTTTAGCAGCTGCATCACATTGTTGGCTCATGTTTAACTTGTAGTGGGCAAGACACCCAGACCTCTTTCACATGGACCAAACCAGCTCTTTCCTACCCTAAATTTGTGCCTTACCATTTTCCTCCCTAGACATAGAACTTTACATTTCTCTCTGATAAATTCCATCCAATTAATTTGAGTTCATAGTTCAAGCCTGAACCTTCTCTCTTTCATCTAAAGCAGTGTTTCTTAAACTTTTTTCTCTCAGGACCCCTTCCTACTTTTAATTATGGAGGACCCCAAAAGAGCTTTTGTTCATATGGGTTATATTTATCAATATTTACTGTATTTAAAATTGACACATTTTCTACCGCTACTGCTTTTCATGATTGTTTGATGGGATTTTAACATTGTATTATTTTTCAACATAGGCTGGCAAATAAATTTGATTTCACAGACCCCTGAGAGGGTCTTGGGGGACCCCCAGGGGTCCTAGGAAAACATTTAAGAAACACTGATCTAAAGCATTAGTACCCTCTCTCAACTCTGTGTCATTTATAGACCTTATACAAGTGCCCCAATTCCCACGTTCAAGTCCTTGATGAAAACATTGAACATCACAGGTCCTGGGATTGAGAACTGTGGCCCTCCACTCCAGGTTTCCCTCCAAATTGAAGTGGAGCCTTTAACTAGCACTTTGGGTGCAGCCATTTAGATTTAATTTTTTTTAAAATCCCACCTTTATTATTTTTTATAAATAACCCAAGGTGGCAAACAAACCTAATACTCCTTCCTCCTCCTATTTTCCCCACAATAACAACCCCATGAAGTGAGCTGGGCTGAGAGAGAGGGACTGGCCCAAAGTCACCCAGCCGGCTTTCATGCCTCAGGTGGGACTAGAACTCACAGCCTCCTGCTTTCTGGCCTGGAGCCTTAACCATTTAGCCAACTGTGGGTCCACCTATCGCTCAATAGGACCATCCAGCTCATAATATCACTTTATGAAGGAGACCATCATGACAGTCCGCTATTAATGAGCACTCTTTGGACGTTCACCCAACCGTGGGCCCATCTGTTATCTTTTACCCCCTCTTCGACCATTTTATTAAAGAGAATGATGTCATGGTCAAGATATACTAGGTCTAAAGTGTTCCCCTGATCTATGAAGCCACTAGCTTAATGGACCTGTTTGTTCCATGCTGTCCCAACTGAATTTACTTAAGCTTTATTAATGTGGGTTTCTCTTATGCTTCCACCTACCAAAGGGTCTAGGCGTCTCACAAAGGATGTAAAGAGATACTTTTGCAAAACTCCTAGCGCAACCCTACACCGTCTCTATACCTGATCATGTACCTCAACACATGCCTGGGGTGTAATGTTGAAAGTGGTGGGCTAGGAGCAGGGAGGCTCAGGTAACAGTCCGTCCGCCCTCAGCCATGGAGGGTCCTGGGGGACACGGGCCAGGCGCTCACGCCCAGCCAAGACGCCTGCACAGGGTTGCTGCGGTGGGAACAAAGCCGAGAAGAGAACGCGGCCACGTACGCGGCCCTGAGCGCCCGGAAGGTGGGATGGTAATCTAACAAACAAGGAAACCCGACTGCTGCGGGGAGACTCTTCCTCACTCCAGCAAAGAATGAAAACTGATGCGGACGTGCCTTAAACATGAGTCACATTTATTTTTCTCTTTCTCTTTTTCCTGCATTCTAACCGCTTTACTTCAAGGAGAGTTCTTGGAAATTAAAACAATTGTTTCATAGATCTTGGGTTGGCTTAAACAGCCCCTCATGAGCGTAGGGTTTTTTTCCTTTAATGACTGGCAAAACTAGATTATCATCTTTGGACAGTGTGTGTGTTTCTAAATACGTCTGTAGCGAGAGTAGCAAACTAAACAGAAAAAAAAGGGAGCAAATAAATATAAATATAAATATACCCACACACAAAGCTTTTTGTGGCACGAAGTGTCACAAAACCAGTGTCTGCAGAACACGCAGCACGGAAAAGAGGGCTAGGGACGAAGAGAACGCGGGTCCTGCTCACATCGCAGCTCACCTGCTCCAGGTAGGATACTTTGGGGGCTGCCCCTTTGAGGTCCAGATGAACCAGCCGCATCTGCGTGGAGCTGAAGTCCCGGCGGGGCATCTTCCTCAGCTCCGGGCCGGAGGCTCCAGCCGCTGGCTTGTGGTCCGGGTGCGCCAAGGATCGCTCCTGGGCGCCGGCCGTCTGTTTCACGTCGAGAGCGCTGCCCCAGAAGTGGCCCTCTCCGCTAACTTCCCGGCGCTGGTCCAGCGTAAAGCTGTGCGCATGGAGCAGAGAGGGGGCTCAGCCCCAGAGCAGGAGCTTGGGGTGCGCAGGGCTGGGCAAGGCCCGACTTCGGCAGCGGGAACCTCGCCACGTGCGCCACGAGCAAACAGGCCTGACCAAACCTGAAAGGGCCTCTGCACCCTTGCTTGCTCGCAGCCGTGCCAGACAGGCAGATGCCAGGGGAACGGGCAGTGGAAAGCACCCGTCCAAAATCCGCTTCCCTCCCTGGTATGCAGAGCACCCTTCCCCAACCGGGTGGGAACTAGGCCAGGCTTGGGAAGATGGTCCCCCTTGTAATTTGACAACTTGCACCGCAGCCACCCAGCTCTCATTTCCCTCCCCACAAAGTCGGGGACGTGGAGGGGCCAGAGAAATCCGCAGCGTGGGGCCCCAGCACGAAGCACGTCCTGAGGGAAAAGGGCTCCTGGGGTGCAGGCCTTCACCCAGCTTGGACGGGAAGCGATGCCACCCGCAGGAGGTCTCTCGCCCTAAGGGTCCCCCTTAGACCCTCCCCAAGCAGCCCCAGGCCCCAAAGGGCGACCGTTTCGCAGCGACCATAAAACTCATTTCCAGCCAGAGCGGCAAACAGAGCAGGCCGCAGGGTAGGCCCATGCCCCCCAACGCCGAGCACCAACCTGTCCCGGAAGAAGAACTTGATGCCAGCCAGCGCCACCGTCAGGAGGACCGCAAGACGCAGCAGGTTCAGCTTCTGGCTGCGGTGAAGCGCCATTCCTGCCAGAGAGAAGGGGAGCGAAGGGGAGACACTGAGGCCTGGCGCGGAGGCCAGGCGTGGATCCTGGCGCATACGTCCACCTTCCCCACAAGGCGCTCTTTGGATAAGTCGAACTGCATCCCCCATATTGGCTGGTGGATTATGGCCCTTGTAGCTGCGGTTGGAGCCCAGAAAAGGCAACCCGTCTGAAGGGTGGCCTGCTGGATCTGACCCCCTAACCGAGACCTGAGGAAGGCGGGGGGGGGGGGGGGGGGGGGGGGGGGCTGCCTCAGCCCCTGTTCGTAACTGCAGACATGCTGCTGTTCCCGGGCTCTGAAACGTCTGGTTGTGACTTTTGCAGAAGTTTGGGCACAGCACATTTAATATGGCATGAGCTTCGGCAGAAAAAGTGCTCCAAAATATTATACGCTGCTATTTTTATGGAAATGTGGATAATGTTTCCCTGAAGGATTTAAGTAATTGCTACTATTTTAAACAGGTAGACCACTAACACAGTAATTTGATTGTGTTGCTTGAACTATTTTTCATAAAGCACGGCTTAGATATTTAACAACTTCTGGCCCAACCACTGTCCCTCACAGGGATGGCTTAAGTCTGTTGTTCTGACTTCATAGCACAAGCCAGCTTAATCCACAGGAAAAGAGCTCTAATTCAAGACACAAGCTAGAACCACACGCTGCAAAACACAATTTGGATGGTAAAGAAGGAATCGGATTTTGTTTTTGTTTTTTTCCTGCTTTATATGCACAGAGCAGTTTCAGCCTCCACTTCCCCCTTCTTACTGCATTTCAAACCAGTCCTATGTCAACAGATCTCAACAATCAAGCAATAACAACAGATCAGCCTAAAACCACAAAACAACAACTGAGCACAAGGCAAGCTGAACCACAAAATCCATAACATCTGAAACAGCAACAAGAGTGGTGGTGAAAGATCAGACCTCGCTGCCCCTTGGGGTCTGGACCTTAGGCCCACCAGGATGCGGCAGAGGGGCACTGGGTACAGAGGGCACAGAAACACCGAGATGCACCTTGCAGAGGCCAGTCTGCCTGGGAGTAACCTGGCACTGGGAGCAGGAAAGACCGGTGCCCCCCGTGCCCTTCCTATCCAAGTTCTGAGTGACACCCAGTTGCAACCTGGCGCCCTCCATCTCTGCCTCCCGCTGTGAAGATTCTTGACCTGGGTAACTATTTGCCTCGTGAACTTTGCTACCAGCAGAGACTTTATTGCCTCTGAATCCAGGCTGTGCTGAGTTTGCCTTTGCTTCCTGGATTTGTAAGCATATTGAGTTAAGCGAAACAGGGGACCATGACACATTCTTCTGGAGGAGGAAGTGGCATAAAATCCTTTTCCTCCACACTTGAAGCTGAAGTGACCCAAAGAACCTCGTCTGCGGAAAGGTGAGGATATTCTATAATTGGGGGCCCACAGCCCAAGAGACTCCCTGCGGTTGCCATGCAAGGTACCTGCAACAAATGGCCGTAGACGGGCAGAGGCCCCGGCAGCGATTAGCAGCCAGGCAGGCGCTGCCAGCTGAGAAGGGAACGCAGGGAGAGGAGAGTCCGTGGCTGTAAAGCATATGACCTGCGGGGTAGTTGCTGGTGGGCAAGGAAAGGCGGTACAGAGCCCAGGGATCTTGGGCAGGACTGCTGGGAGGGCTAGAGGCAAGAGTTTCCCATGAGCCTCACCATATCCTGGGGCTGGGGTAGAATTTAAAGAGGCTAAAAACAAAGAGTCCCTTTTAAGAGTCCCTTGGACTGCTCGGAGGTCAAACCAGTCATTCTTAAAGGAAATCAACCCTGACTGTTCATTGGAAGGATTGATACTGAAGCTCAAGCTGCCTGATTAAATGGGCAAAAAATATTGGACATAATATACATATGCAGCAATGGGAAAATATGTG